AGTAGGTCAGCCCTATATATAGGGCCTGCGCGCTTCCCGGGTAGCCCGGCTCATGCCCTTTATATAGGGCCTGCGCGCTTCCAGGGTTAAGTTGAGAAGTCAATTATAACGAGTAGTTACACGCATTCTGGAGTTCGAAAATGGTCAATTTCCGAATGTTTTGCACTCAAATTCTTCTTTTTACCTCCTCAATAGTATTCAAAACTATCTTTTAAACTTATTTTTATCTGGGAATATCATTTTGCATAAGGCCACCTGTGAGAATAGCGCAGGCGAGCCTTTTGTCTATTCTCACCCGGTGTGCATTCACCGTCAGGCCAATAGCCTAGGCCAACCAGTGTAGCGTTCACCCTGAACCACAGAATTCTAGACTATGATAACAGAATTGTAGAATCATGTGCCGTGAACAAACGTTCCAGCGCTCTTGTGTTACTATAGCCTAAAAGCTTGCAATTTTGTCTGTGGGCAGTGGAGAGAGAGGTTTTTTCGTAAATCTCCAGTCAATTTTTGTTTTTTACTAAACCTCATGAAACTTCATACACTTTTAGATCTTTGCATGCATGCACCAACTACAGTGGAGTCCACTTAAAACGAGTCCTGAAATAACGAGAAATTTGTTATAAAGACACTATATTCTAAAACCCCGTTTTTTCCCTTCTTTATCTTTGTAAATAAAATACTGCTATTGCGCAGTCACATTAGTTGGTTATCACGTAATATTGCAGCTGCTGTGCACAGGGCACTGACCAATTAAACATATAAACCCTCGCCAGTTGAGAAAGTTGTTGGTGATCCAACGAAACAAAGAATTGGAGAGACCACGCGAACCAACAAAGAAGGCCGGAGCGAATAAGGGGGAGGGTGTGGCATGCTCAGACAAGCAGATCGCATCGCATGATAGTCCAGCCCAGTCTCGATTATCTAGGCCTACCTTGCCTCTCACTTCTCTGTTGCAGGGTGGAGAGGGCACAATGTTGTGATAGATGGAGTGAATGTGTGACGTGCGCAAGCAGACGCAATGCACCACAGAGTGTGGTGGGGTGGGGGCAAGGAGATTAAAAGTAATGTTTTAAGCTCCTTGGATGGGGGACAACACAGCGGGCGAGTTGGCCTAGAGCCAGAGCCTCTTCTTTTTGATCGCCAACGCCGATCTGTCAACATTGCTAGTTCTAGAGAAAGAAACCTGATTCAATTTTTGATCAAGTAAGACCTAGAGATCATGTTGAACAAAATCAGCATCAGGAGAAATACAAAAAAGAATGAACAGAACACCAAACTCATAGATTAGGCCTACTTTACCTATTTCCCTTGAATTTATTACTAGATCCCTTATAACGAGAATCCTTCTATAACGGACATTTCGCACAGGTCCCCTCCCTCTCGTTATAACAGGATTCCACTGTACTCGGTATATGTTCAGTACTAAATGACTAATGGGGTCAAATTTTATGCATTCACTTAAAAATTACGAAAACCGAGGGTTCCTTTTTTTTTGTGTCACACGGTATTATATATTTGGACGATAACTTTGTTTTAAAAGGTACTTGTGTGTTGGTACTAGTAAATGTTGTCAATAAAATTTGTATTGTGCATCATGATTTGTTAAAAGGCTGTTCTGCTTTTATGCTACTGTACTCAAATTGTCATGTTTTTAAACTGAAAATTTTAAGCTCATTTTAATGCGCCTGGGATGGGAAGGTTGCTATTTTTTTGCAATTTTTAGGCAGTTTACTTTGCTTTTTTTTGCAATTTTTCTATTGTAAAAATGCAATTTTCCGCGGGGCCAGTCTTTGATGTTAAAGTAAATTTGGACATGATGTGCAAGATTGCTTTAGGTTTTGGCATAGTCGCTCGGGAATTTTAGCTCGGACTTAATAAACATTCTCTTTTTTTTTTTTTTCTAGAGCGCTGTTCGACTATGATTCTCAGCTGCCAAGTGAACCAAATGGACTGCCATGTTTTGCACCCCAAGGTAGCTCAGTGGTGTCCCTGGATAACATGGGCATCTCAGAGCTCACATTTCAGGGAATACTTGACTTCATCTACACTGCTGAGGTGGAGCTAAATCCAGAGAACATCCAGAACATGCTTCAGGTTGGTTCTCGTTGTATAATCAACGAGTATTAACTACCCTTCAAAAGTAAAAAAAATGATGTGTCACAGCACATTGTTGTGATACTGAACCTTTAAATCATCATGTGTTCATCTGATTTTATGCTGTTCATTCCACATGGACTTCATGAATAATCTCTTGTTTGGGATCTTAGCTGTGCTTGTGATAACAAAAGTCTAACTCAAGTTAGATTTGAATATGATCGGTTTATTTTGAAAATAGAGTAGAGAATCACAAAGTATGAATGAATGAACCTTTATCGATCTCTTGGGAGAAAGTGTACATGGTCATGTGCATGGGTTGACAAGTTCTTATTTCTCTCTCTCATTCTCTCTTTTCTCTCTCTCTCTTTCATTCTCTCTTGCTGTTTCTGTCTCTGTCTCTCTCAAAAACACACACACACACTTACACACACGCGCACACACACGCACACCCAAAAAATTCATCCTATTGCAAATGGCAGTGAGAAAATAAATCAAAATATTTTTCTCCACTGCTGAATGTGTGCTGCCTTGAGTGAACATCGAGACACCCTTGTTAATAATAATAATAATAATAATGTTGATCATTTCTATAGCGCCCACACTCCCATGTGAACACAGTTCTAGGTACTTTACATAAATGCATATGTACGTGAACTATATTCACGCACGCGCACACACACACTCACATGAACACATTACACGCGCACATGTGCACACACTTGCACGCCAAACACTCACGTGCACACACACACACACACACACACACACACACACACACACACACACACACACATACACACACACATGTACACACACACATAAACACATTACACACACACATGTACACACACACATAAACACATTACACGCAAACATGTGCACGCCAAATACATGCGTGCACGCATGCGCAGACACACACACACACACACACATCTACTTGCTTATGTGCATGCTTGCACATCATTATAAAATGAGCACATACAAATACACATAATAAAATAATATACACAATGCAATTCGCAAAAAACGTAAATGGATACATAGTCATTTACATAACTTTGTACTGAACATGAATCTGCTGATAGACCTATAAAAATGATGTCATTTGATGTGTTGACACTGGTTAAAAAATTTTTTTGTGCGTACACTTTTTCTTCTCAATCATTTTTATATTAATCTGCCACTGACAAAATTGTAACATATTGGACTCTTACATATCCATGGCTACTTTATATTTCTTGTTACTGTTGAGAATGAGTACAAATACAAATAGTAAATCAAGGCTATAAAGAAACTTTTCTCCATTTGTTGCAGGACTAGCATAGAAATCATTGAAGGGGTAGTTTGAACAAACAAACAAACATGCCATAGGGTATGTCAATGTAATTAGATTGTATTATTACTGCATTACTGGCATCTGCAGTGTAGTGGTTAGGTGCTTTGCTGCCGCATGTAAAAGACTCGTTCAATTCCCAGGTCAAAGGTGAGAGAAAAGTGTTGTCGTGTTTCTGGGTCTTTCTACTTGGATGTTGTATCCCTCTCAGTACGGCTTGGCCCTGATAGAAAGGGTCAGAAGATCGTCTACTAAATGGTCTTAACTGTGGCAATGCATAAAAAACACCTTCTTTGAAAAATAAATAAAACAAGAAAAAGTTACTACATTGATTCTATTTCATGTTTTTCCAGGCAGCTGACCAACTGCTTATGGGTGACCTGAAGAGATTGTGTTGTGAGTTTTTGGACACATGCATCACCACGCAGAACTGTATCGGTGTGTTCGACTTCACTTCCCAGCTCTCCTGCTCCTGGTCTCACCTTAAAGTCTCTCAGTATTTGGATGAGAATTTCAGGTCAGAACTCGAAAGCGAAACTTACTCTTGTAGCTGTCTTGTAATTGTAAGGTTGTGGATTCAATCCTCCACTTTTAGAGTGAGGAAGGACATTGTAGTCGTGGGAAAGATACTTTATTTTAGTTTTCTCTGTTCCCCCAGCTACAAATGGTATTTGTGTATCAGCTGCCACAGACTTATGAGTGACAGAGTTTGAGTGGATGACAGGCTGTTGCACTGTGTCTTTCTAAGGGAACTGAGATGTCAATATTTTTGGTATAAATAATGGGGGCACGTTGTAACCTCTGGTGGTTGGACACTTGAGTAAATGAATGATTAAATAAATTCCACTTTATCGATCCCTCTAGGAAATTCGGTTTACACTGGCATACATGATACATAAATGCTGAAATACATTTATACATGATGAATTAAATAAACGGATAATACACAGTATTGCAAACAGACAATCCACCCACCATTGCTGATCACCACTGTGGAACGCCCTATTTTTGAACCAGGGTTACCTTTTCCCCCTCCAGTAACCACTGTTCCACCGACACATGCTTGACATTTTTGTAAGCTTGATTTCGGTAACCACGCAGTAAGTGAAGCCCACTAGATGTGGTATAGCAATGTTCTGAGTAATTTGTGAGTTTTCTTGATCATTGTTTCTTTCTATTATTTCTTCTGTGTGTCTCTCTCTCTCTCTCTCTCTCTCTCTCTCTCTCTCTCTCTCTCTCTCTCTCTCTCTCTCTCTCTCTCTCTCTCTCTCTCTCTCTCTCTCTCCCTCTCTCTCTCCCCCCCTCTCTCCCTCTCTTTCCCTCTCTCTCTTTCTCTCTCTCAGAGATGGGTGTAGTATCTAAGGGTGTGACCCATAAATAAAAACCTCTAAGTTATCATGAAATAGGCTGAAGAATAACTCAAAGATTTAGGTTGCTTTTCATCAATTCTTTTTTTTTTTTTCTAGTGAGGTGAGCCAACATGGAGAATTCTTACATCTGAATGCTCATCGGGTGGAGAAGTTTCTCTCTAGGAAAACCATCAGTGTGAGAGAGGACGAGGTTCTCGACATTATAATACGATGGTTCCAGCATAAACCCGAGATCAGGAAGGACGCCGCCTTAAGTCTTGTGGAAAGCGTTGTTTTCGCAACAGAGATCTCTGATAATGCTGTTTTGAAATTGGGCGACTTGGGCAAGTATTTTAGCTTCCCTGACTACATCTTATTTTGGTTCTTTTTTTTATAGTAAACGTATCGGAGACGTTCTGGCAAAATGAGTTACTTCTCGCAGTCCATGGCTGGAGATATCAGCCTAAAATCTGTAGATTTTCAACTGATGCCATTTTCTTTAAGTTTAACATAAATAGTCTTTTATCATTTCGTACTAATAAACTGTACAAACTCAACTAATAAATTTAACATATCTATTTCCATAGGGCAAACATCCAAGAAGTAACTCATTTTGTCAGCACGCCACACATCCGTCCCTTCTGTGTAAAGGAGGGGAGCGGGTGGTTGGCAGGTGCTCTGGTGTGGTTTGCTCCTTCTTTCCTATCAAACATCTGTCGTCCTCATCTCCCTTCCTTCTTTTTTGTGTATGTTACTCTCTTGTAACACGTAATCTATTCTTCAGCGCTTATATGACCGTATTATGTTGCAAGGGCCATAAAACTCTTACTAAAAACTAAAACTAAAGGGAGGGATAATGTTAAGTGCTGAGTGTTTATCTTGATCGTTATATTGTTGAAAGAATATGGAATGGAGTAGGTATGACTCTCAGTGTTTATTTTCACTTTATTCACTTTTTAAGAGTGTGTTTTGAAATAAAGTGACAGTATAATATGTATATTATCTGTTCCTATGATTCTGTAGCTGAACGCGTTTAGGAAGTAACATTTTTCATTTTACCCAATCTTGGTCGAAATTGAAACAAATTTGATATATCTCGAACATGTTGATCGATTTTCAAACTTGATGTCCTCATAGTTGAATTTTATTTGTTCGAAGTTTTATGGAAATTAATGTAGAGATGACTGAGTTATTGTCAATTAATTGGGTCCTGTTTTTTTTTAGGCCCCCTGTAGGTGTTGAACTAGATTTGGTTCTTGAACAGGAACATAAACTGACATTTTTTCTGCTTTTTTTTTTCAGGTGAACTTGGTGAGGAAGTTTTCCAGGTGTTAAGAAATCTAAAAATCCAGCAAGAGGAAACCCCACCCATTCAGCGTGGCTACACGCGGGTCGTTGTTGCATGTGGAGGAGAAGGATACTCAGTGGAGTAAGACTTGATTAACAATAACATAATATATGAGTCATTGTGGTGAAATCAGGCACTCGTCTAAATGTGTGCGTGCCTTGTGAAAGGGACCAGAAGACGCATTTGTTCAAACTGAGATATCAGGCTTCAAAGGTCAAAAATAGAATTTTTGACAAAAACTAAGTTCCATTAAAAATGGATTCTTTAGTCGTTAACCCTTAAAACCCTATACCGCTGGTAACCGCTGACGCCGTATTTTCCTATACCGCTGGAAACCGCTGGTCGACTTTATCGTTTAATTCCCAGTGCTAGAAACAGGGGATGTAACTCCAGTTCCAGATGACTCTGTCGCGAGCAGAAAGTACCGATAATGTCATGAGAGCAGTTCTACACCGAAAGTTTGGAAATTTTGCGAGTTTTAAAGAAAAATTAGTCACTTTTCGCTGCCAGGCCCTTCAGGCAGCAAAATTTTTGACATTTTTTATCCTAACCAAACCCCAATAATGATCTCCCAGTCGGATATATCGATAAATATGACCGTTGAAGACGATTGCAATGTTCCGCATAACATCGATGATGATTTTGACGATAGTGAAATTGGCAGGGGATCACCACTAAAGCTACCAGAGGCTAGATCTTTGGCTGGGTCTAATGATACTTTGACTGAAGTGGAGTCGGGGATCACACACAAGACTTAAGTCATAGAGTTGGTCCTAAAAACCAGTGTTTTAACCTTTTCCCCTTTTGTTCAGACTGTGCATTCATATATAAATAACATTTTCAAACTTCAGTAAAATCTAACAACAATTAAAGACACAGTAAACAAAATAGTGAATCAACCTAATTTTTTTCTAGTATCTCAATTTTAATTCAGGATTCTAGGGAGGTATGAAAAAAAAGAATTCAGGGTTTTAAGGGTTAATATATCGATATTTACAAGAGCTTGAGTTTCTTTTACTTTAAAGTACATTTTTATTAAAGATGTTTTTTAACACGAGGTATATTGCATAATCCCCAAAAATGCATGAGAAAATTGGTTTTCCGAGTACACATTGCATATGGTTTCTCTTGTCCATTCATAAAGTCAACCCAGTCACACTGCATACCAAAATTTAGGTCATTGTCTCCCCTCTCTAGTTGCGGGTAGTGCGCATGAATATCTAAAACATGTAAACAAAGCAAAGCTTTGCGCATCCTTACCCTTTCGCCTTTTTGGAGAGCAAACTTGTATGGCATTTTTCTGCCCTGCACAAACTTACATCTATTTCTTAAAAACTCTTGCTCAATGTGGTGGTGAATTTGTTTTGAAGACGTAATATAAACACTTTGAAGCTGTTCTTTTGTCTTAGCTGCTTTTTAAAGTTGGTGTGTGAGTAGCGAATGTGTTGTCAGGTCATCTTGAAGCGTAGATCTATCTATTTGAAGCAGAAACAAAGGGGGGAACTTTGAAGCCGTTTTTCTCAGTACTTTGTTTCTGTACCCTGCCTTACAAAATCACCCATATCTCAAAAACTACTGAAGATATCTTTTTGTTTTGTTTTTGTAAGTGTTTTACGGCGCTCGCAACTGCATAAGGTCATATGACCGCGCGGGACACATTTAACTTTTTCAGTTGGTAGGAAATTTTGAATTTTGCCTGGGTGGCGGCCAAAGCCTACTCTTATCGATTTTAGACCACCAAGGGATCCTTAGTGTGCGCAACTTGCACACGGGCCATCCGAGATTTTTCGCCCTTGTCTGAGAAGGCTAGGTGTAGATCTTTCCTACAAGAAGATCAGTGGTGTGGCTGAAAGACAGCAGTAAGAAGAAGCTAAGGAGTAGCAGTAGAAAGGCTGTAGAAAGAATCAGGAGCCCAGAGAAGGGGGGCAAAGGAGAGGAGGGAGTGGGGGCAGAAAGAGGAGACGAAAGCAGACGGCAGAACATTGCTAGAGAGCAGGAAAGGAGGGGAAAGAAGACAAATTGAGAGAAAAAATTTTTTTTCTAACCCGGGACCTTTGAATGAGAGGCCAACACCTTAACCTCTAGGCCACGAGAGCCCCCGAAGATATCTTTAAAATTCTAAAAGCATATTGTTCAGAAATTATCTCTGTACATGAAAATGCAAAAAAAAACGGGATTCTTCAAAATGTGTCTTCTGGTCCCTTTCACCAGACATGCTCACAAATAATGAAATCAAAGATATTAGCATTTTTCTCGCCGTTGGGCAATTAAAATTTTTTTTTCTTATTTGGCTCAAGACCTGTTATATCCATTTAAAAACACATTTCTGTATGGATTTTACTGAAAAACATTGATTGAAGGAAAAAAATTTGTAAATTTTCAGTTTCTAAGGACTCTCAAGCTATGGAAATTACCAAACTTTGGTGGCCATTTACTTGCTAATTTTACCTCTGAAACCAGGCGACCCTGACCTCCTTCAATCGCAAATATTTCAACTTTTATTCAACATAAACGGATATTTTTTTCTACCAAAAGCAAAGCAAAGGAACAGGTTTAAGATGATACCAATAACCCCATAGGCCTAAAAATTGATGAGCTCCAGATTCCACCACATCGTGACACATGACATTTATCCAGTGCTGAACCCCAATTAAAAAAACACAGGCTTTGAGCACTTTACAGATACAATAGTAACATTTAAACAGTACATCGTAGTCTTGCTAAAAATCTCTCCATATATATCTCATTAATCTAAAAACAGAAATGGCTTTAGCCCTTTCACCCATTGTTTTAAGTTTCATTGATGGTAAAAGTAGTTTCTTTTTATCAGCTGATGACTTTAAATTGTGAGCTGGAATTTACAGCTTCAACGGGTTTGGTAAATATGGTGAAGGATTATCATTCTTACATTTGTGACATGAGGGGCCAACTTATACATAAATCTTTTCTCAACTGGAAGCGAGTGCCTGTGAAAAAGGTGTAGCGGAGTCTTGCTTTCTTGCATATAAAACTTAACTCACTGCATTGTTTTGAACAGTCTGAAGTCTTTTCACTTTCTCCAGAGATAATCCTGATTACAAAGTGTTACAAGAGTCGAGTCATGATGAAGCTGAGCTTTTTACTACAAAAGCAGTATACTTAGTATTGATTAAATGATGTATTTTACTGATTTTTTATTTCTGGAAACCCCTGAAATCTGGGTTAGCCCGCTTTTCCTTCAAAGCGACCAAATATCAGTTTCTTAAAACACATGATGGTATCATTTGTGATAATATCCGGAACTTCTAACTGTCAGAAACGCCACAGAATAGTAGGAATACGAAAAAAACCAAATGTGTCACGATGCAGTGGAATCAGGCTATTGAAATTGTCAAACTTTGGCGGCCATTTTCTCATTTATTTTACCACTGACAGGCGACCCCTCATCCGTCAATCGCAAATATCTTGACTACTATTCAAGTTATATGGGTATTTTTAAAAATCGAAAGCGACACAAATAAATATGCTTTAAGATGATGCCAATAACTCCAAATGCCCAAGAATTGATGAGCACCTGATTCCACCGCACCATGACACATATGGTTTTCTTCATTTAGTGTGTCACTGAGACTATACAATTTTCAGCATAATGGACAAGTTTATGTTAGCTGGTAAACATTGTTGAACCATATATTTGGGTATCGTTAGCATAGAAATGATACTATAGATCATGCATAACTATTTGTGGTTGAGTATAAATGGTGAACAAAACTGGACTGAAGACTGAGCCCTGGGAAACTCCATTCATAAGAACATGATCTAATGGCTTGTGCTCTTAAATGACAACAGACTAGTATCAATTTGAAAGAGTAGACAAGCACTGGCTACACATAGATTTTTGTCCAGCTATGCAGAAAAGTTGAATTTTCTCTTGTAATTTCCATCGTTTCAAGAAAATGTATATCAATAAATGGTCGCTTTTAAGCACAAGGGAGCTATCCCGAAAAATGCTGTTTTGAGGAAATCAAAGTTATAAGTTTTTGGATCCTTATTCAATGTCTTTAAAAGACAAGGAGGGTTTTCTCTATAACCAAACAATTATACACACCATTGAAACCAAACTTCTCCTGTAGGTAGGGCAATGCCCACGTTTGGTGTAGGTCAAGATTTCTGGAAACCCCCGAAATCTGGGTTAGCCCACTTGTCCTTAATAGCGACTAAATATCAGTTTCTTAAAACACATGATGGTATCATTTGTGATAATATCCGGAACTTAATAACTGTCAGAAACACCACAAAATAGTAGGAATATGTGAAGAGGGTTGCCTGTTGGTGCAATAACTACTCATTGCAGTGATCATATCCTCTTGATAATTCTGTTTTGATTATGTCTTGTGAAACAATCAAAATTTTGATGTCACGGCTGCTGCGGCTAGAAAAGGGATCATGATTGGTTGCGGGGTTTTGTTTTTATCTGTTTTCAAGTATTATGAAGGGGCAATTTATTACCTCTGTCTACAATAATCCTAATTGGGTTTTTTTCTCTGTTCCAATAGGTTTAAATACCACAAAGAACAAGAAAGTTCCAATTCTATATATAAACATACTGTTTGTCCCTACAGCCGTCTGCCATTTTGTTGTCCCACAAGACCGCAAGAGGTACATTCTACACAAGGGGCATTGCAGTTACTCAGAAGTTGCACAGTGATACTCCGCCTTTCTCTCTGTTAATTGAACATGTTGTGAGGGCTGGATTTGTTTGAAACACTTGCACATCTCTTGTACTTCCTTTGTAAGATGGGTTGTAAAAGTCATTAATTTTATTGAATGCTTTGACTTACTTTTATAGAAAGTGATATGACTCCCAAAGAACACAGTTCATGCCGCCAGGTATGTGAATGTTTAGCTTCATAGTTACAAGCAATATCTCGTTAACCAATTACGGTAATTGTTTGATGTTTATTTGTTCCTAGTTCTTCAGCGCCTGAATCAGTTTTTGTTGATTTACAACTAGACTTTCTTTCACTGTGTTTTGTTCAGAGATCCTGATGACTTGGAGGTGAAAGACTACACTCGCTGTGTGCGTCTGTTTGATGGGTCGGCGGCCTCACAAGACTGCTGGGTTGACCTGGCTCAGATGACCACAGCTAGAGTCGACCACGGTGTTGTGGAAGTTGGTGAGTACTTAATTTTTCTGACCATAGTTCCGAGTAAAAAATGAAAGTTAACAGGTATAAGACTAACTTCAGTTTTGTGGAAGTCAACAAAGGCGGAGAACCTGTGTGGATTTCTTGTTGAATCGGGGGTCGGTCTTGGGTTATGAATTGCATTTTTCATGAGATTGATAGTGTCCTGAAATAGAATTTAAAAAACCCTCAGTTTTGCAAAAGTAGATCATACTTCCAAAAGCCATTTTTTGGGAAGTGTAACAAAGTTCAAAATCCCTTCAGCTTTCGGAAGCGCTAATCGTTTTTGCCTAAATCCCCATGTTCTTTGAATACTGGATTTTTCAGCATTATTTTCAAATAACCAGCGAAGAATGACTGGCTGCAGTGCATTGTATCATGACAGAAGAACATGATTGAAACTTCTAATCTTCTTAAAAAACGAAACATATTTTTAATTAGAGAAAGTATTTTATTGCGTCTTGTAGCTGAGGAAATGTATTTTGACCAAAAAATTGGCATGATTTAGTATCCCTGCCAAGCTATATCAAAATTTGTAATTAAATTTTGTTTTCATTCAGATGATCCCTAAATGATCACTGCTCTTTAGATAATAATTATTTTGATGATGTGTTTTTCTTCAAGTTTAGATTGACTGGGGTTTTGTCGTTAATTGTCATGCTCAGGTATATTTAATTCTTTTTGCAGCGGGCTATCTCTATGCTGCTGGCGGTCGTGACAAGAATAGCCGAATCTTGAATTCATGTGAGAAATATGACCCGTTTACCAATAGCTGGAGCCGAGTAGCTTCCATGAATCACGCTCGCAAAGGGTTTGGGCTGGTTGCCATTGAAAACTTCATCTACGCAATTGGAGGTAGCAATGATTTGACTGACCCTTTAACATCAATGGAGGTCTACGACATGTTCACTGACAAGTGGAAATCTCTGCCAGATATGATTGTGAAGAAGGCATGGGCATCTTGTACTGCTGCTGGAAAGAAGATATATGTCATAGGAGGAGGCATTGTAGAGAAATACTATGACTCTGTTGAGGTTTTTGATACTCAGTTCCAGACTTGGTATGCTGTGTCCCCTCTGAGGGAGAGAAGATGCTTTGCACAGGCTGTGGCAGTTGGAAATGACATCTATGTGTTTGGGGGCCAGCGACGCATCGAGTGCCCCAGTGCGGCCCATTCTGGCCACAATGTCAAACTATGTGGCTCTGAATGTTACTCAGCTCGCTGGGACTCATGGAGGCCCCTGCACACTCAGCGCTATGAGCCTGGCTTTTGCTCCATAGCTGAGGGCTCCTCTATCAACAGTGCCTTATGTGAGGGGGACTGGATTCTCGTGGTAGGTGAGCTAAACATGAATGGTGAGTGGCACGCAATTCGGGCCTTGAACCGTCACACGCTTAAGTGGGAGTGTCTGGTAGCAAATGGGCCAGATCGTCAACGCCGATACCCATGCTGTGCCCTGAACATACCTAGTCATGTTCTACATCAGCTGTTCCATCAGAGGAAGCTCCACTACACTGAGGTCATCAGCGACAAGTAAAATTCTTCAGGGTCTTTCTACATCTACACAATGCCCAGCATTTTCAGATTCTATTGCTGAGATAAATTTTTAATTGCTGAAAAAAGGTTTCTGTACAAGGGTGAGGTATTCTGCTCCCATCATGAAACATCAGAATTAAGGTAAACAAGATACTGCTTTGCATATTTTCAGAATGAGTGGTTTCTACAGCTTTTTGCATCTTGCTCCAAGTTGCATATCAAGTTAGTTTATATATAGATGGCATTTTATACAGACACCTGCACAACGTGGCATTGACCGAGTTTCTTCATGTTACCTATACGGATACAGATGGTGTCCAAACTATTGATTGCTCCTTACTGAAACTCCAGACAAAGTCATGTTTTAGTGTGTGTGTGTGTGTGTGTGTCACTACATGGTGGAATCAGGCGTTCGTCAATTTTTCAGCATATGTGAAGTTATTGATATCATTTTAAAGATTGTTCATTTGTCTTGCTTTTGTTGAAAAAAACCCCAACTCATTTATCTTGAATAGAAGTTGAGATATTTGCCAATTAAAGATGTCAGGGTAGCCATTTGACAGATGTAAAATTAGCAAAAAAATGGCCCCGAACGTTTAGTGACTCCCAAAGGTCGAGTGTCTTTCGAAACTGCAAACTACATTTTTCTGTGCCTTTGATCATTGTTTTAACGTGAAATCCACATACAAATGTGTTTTTATGCAGACGTAAAAGGTGTTGAGAACAAAAAAAGTTTGATAAAAATTGTCTAACAGGAGTAAAAATGCCAGTTTCTCCGATTTCATTATATCGATGAGCTACTGATTTCACCACAATGCCACTGATAATATTTCAGGTTACCCAGCTTTTGTTGGGTTTTTTTTTTTAAATGCCTCTGTAGAGCCCATCTAATCCTGATTTGTATAGCACATTTGCGGAGCGGTGATACCACCCTTGTGGTAGTAGAGTATGTATTTGTTTATATAAGGGTATGGAAGTGGGAGTATAACTTAAAGTAGAAACAATTTTTCTCATATAACAATCTTTTCATTACAGAGTGTTAAGTGCTACGACTGCTTTTGCTACTCGGGTAGATTCAGTGCAGTGATGTCCCTATTCATGCTTCGATTTGCTTTTTCCCTTTAGTATTTGAGATTTGTTTGCCTAGTTGTGAGTGAAAGCTGAACACCTACACACTTGCATGTCAGTTGTACTTTGGACTGCTGTAATCCACAGTGCTGTTGTAAAAAGAAGGGTTTTTACTGATGAATGTTTGTACTTCTGAGAACTATGCTTTCATGTCATGTTATAGTCTTAATGGTGTTTCTTATTAATCCGTCAAGTATGAGCCCTGATATGGATTATTATGTTCTCACTCTGCTTTGCCCTTTCTAATTTTATAACGTCGAGAAATTTAAAAGTACATGTCAATACATTTTTAGATATTTATTCTACATTAATTTTGAGTCTTAAACAGTTAATAGGTAAAGTGTTTCTTGTATGTTTAAATGTTTTCTTGCTTATCTGGAACTTGTCTTTTCAAGGATCGCGTAGATTGCTTAGAATGTGTGTAGATGATTATTATGAAGTTGATTGGGCAATGGACATCGCAAAGTGATAAAATCTCATTCAAACAAATTAAATTGTTGGGATATACCTACTTTTGTCACAGAGCAAATGTTCTAGAGGGGCATTCACTTGGATTTTATATTACTGATGATGTGTCTCTTATTGTTTTGTCTAAGTACCTAGTGAAGAGCTGGTGTGTGCTGTAAATGTTAGGGCAGTTCTCACAGCGAAGACATTTTCATTTTTTGTTAGCTATGGCCGTAAAATTTAGTTTCTTTTCTACTGATGATTGAAAGCACCCTAAATGTTGCTTGCCAGTTTGCACAAATCAAACCCATTGAAGCCATATGATGTCACTTCTGATGACAAGGCTCTATCCTGCTGATTGAAAACAAGGACTAACTCAGAACAGAAATCTATCTTATCATTTTCTTAACCGCGGCTAAATTTTCAATCGAACCAAACTGTGAATGATGAAAGAATTGCAGAATTTTTATAACTGGTATACTGCAACAAAAGTTTTTCCAAGGTTTGAAAAAAAAAAAAAAAGCAATACGTTTGAATTGTTTTTTAATAGATGGTGAAAGAGACCACAGCTGAATTTTTGTTGCAGTGGTGGAGAAAGTTGAAGGAGAAGGGGAGAAGAAATTTCTGTGTGTGCCTGGTGAAAGGTACCAAATGACGCATTTTGAAGAATCCTGTTTTTTTGCATTTTCATGTGCAGAGATCACTTCTGAACAATATGCTTTTTGGGTTTTAAAGATATCTTCAGTAGTTTTTTAAATATGGGTGATTTTGTAAGGCAGGGTATGGAAACAAAGTTTTGAGAAAAACGGCTTTAAAGTTTCCTTTTGTTTCTGCTTCAAATAGATAGATTTACGCTTCGAGACGACCTGACAACACATTCGCTACTCACAAACCAAGTTTAAAAGCAGCTAAGGCAAAAGAACAGCTTCAAAGTGTTTATATTACGTCTTCAAAACAAATTCACCACCACCTTGAGCAAGAATTTTCAAAAAATAAATCTAGGTTTGCGTAGGGTAGAAAAATGCCATACAAGTTTGCTCTCCTGAAAAGCGAAAGGGTGTGGATGCGCAAAGCTTCGCTTTGTTTACATGTTCTAGATATTCATGCGCACTACCCGCCACTATAGAGGGGAGACAATGACCTAAATTTTGGTATGCAATGTGACTGGGTTGACTTTATGAATGGACCAGAGAAACCATCCGCAATGTTTACTCGGAAAACCAGTTTTCTTACGCATTTTTTTGGATTATGCAATATATCTCGTATTAAAAAAACATCTTTAAAAATGTATTTTAAAATAAAAGAAACTCAAGTCCGTGTAAATATCGATATATGAATGGCTAACGAATCCATTTTTAATGGAATTTAGTTTCTGTCAAAAATTCTATTTTTGACCTTTGAAGCCTGATATCTCGGTTCTAGCAAATGCGTCTTTTGGTACCTTTCACCAGACACGCTCACAAATCATGATTCAGTTCTTGACCCAAAAAGCAACTATGTGTGGAGTTGTCATCAATTTGATGATCCTTTGGAGTTATAAAGAAAGATGCTTGTGTTGTATGTGCATTTCTCTGTAAGAATTTTGCCGTAGGCTGGTTCATAAAGAAAACATTTGGGGACAGGGTGGCTCATGGTCGTCTTATGTTATTATCACAATGTGTTGCATTTTCAGCAAGTTGTGGTCAACATGTGAACAAATCTTGGCCCAAGAGGTGGATAGAAACCGTCAACAGTGTACAGTATTGTTCTTAAAATGGATCTGTGTGGCTCTTGCCAAGAAAAATGGTTGTCAGCTTATGTACAGAGCATGTCTGGTGTTCCTTTTTTTCAGCAAGCATTAATGAGTGACTGTTTTGATTTTGATATATTTTCATTTTTGTGTGCGTTTTGTACATTTAGCTTTCATCGATACGCTTCCTATCTCGGATCTTTGGAAACTTTAATGCGGGTTTTACTTTCATCACGTCTGCAAGTTAACATTGGTTTTTGTTTTTTTTGGTTTTGGGTTGGGTTATTTTTTTTGGGGGGGGGTTGTTAGAGACAAATGAAATGTGCCATATTTGATCTGTCTGTGACCATCTTTTATGTGTAGTTCTGGAGCTCACTTTACTTTAAAGCTATGTTCCTTGTCATCACAGGCTTGCTGACTCCTATTCTCTGCTGCTGGGATTCCTTGAACTTGAACTAACTTTGTCGTACTAAAGGATTTGCCCCAAATACAGCTCACCTATTACTCGTACTGTGAAGGAATGTAAGATCACAACTGCAGGAGGAGAGAGGTGGCTCAGGTTAATTTGCTTTGTATTTCATATACCTGTCATCTGTTTATTTACTCTTTTAAAAAATTACCAGTACAGGAGAAACCAGACATTAGTCACAATTTTCATTTGTTACCTTTCTTTGTTTGCCTCTTTCCATTTTGTCCCTCAATGCCATTTTTGTCCGAAACGTTTGCCATATATATACTAAAAATGCAGTATAATCCGCTTATATCGACATGCTTTGGGAAGTGGATTTGATGTCGGTATTTATGTTGCGACGTGGTGGAATCAGGCGCTTGTCAATTTTTGGGTTTGTGGAGTTATTGGTATCATCTTAATAAAGTGTGTTCAGTTGTCTTGCTGTCGATGAATAAAATGCCCTTCTATCTTGAATAGAAGTCAAGATATTTGAGATTGAGGAAGGTGGGGTCACTTGGATTCAAAGGTAGAATTAACGAGAAAATGGATGCCAAAGTTGCATTATTTCACTATCTTGAGAGTCCGTGGAAACAGAAAATTTACATCTTTTATGCCTTTAATCAATGTTTTTCAGTAAACACCACACAAAAATGTGTTCTTTAATGGGCGTGAAAGGTGTTGAGCCAAAAAACCAAAATTCAATAAAAATTCCCAAACCTGCAGAAAAATGCCAGTTTCTTGACCTTTATTATTTTGATGAGCGCCTGATTTCACCACGCTGCCTCACATATAAAAATGTTGATTAATGAAAATATAAAGCTGCAGAGGAAAATTTTTTTACCTCTGACTTCCTCGCAAACTTTGTTGTAGCATCCTTGTAAGGCCTGTTTATGGCCGCTTGCTGGGGAAAATGGAAAGATGAGGCACTGACTCACTGACCGTGGCCCTTGCCGGCGACAGACTGAGAATGGGATGGGGAAGGGGAGTGAGCTATCGGGAATGGGGATAGGGAGGTGATGACCAGCGCGCGAGACGCTCACGTCTGTGAGACTCTGTACTGTGTTCGAGACTACACTGTGTAGACCCTCCATGACCTACTAAAACCTGGTGTGTCGATATACAGGCTTCTTGGCATGTATGCAGACTTAATGAAGAACTAATGCGTTAACCATTAGCGTGGCTTTTTCCCCCATTTATGTTCGTAGGCTTCGCCAGGTACCCAGGAAGCATGTCGATAAAGCACAGTGGGCTGAAAAAAGTCAATATAAGAGAAATTGTTTAGTGAAGATATTGAAGGAAAAATTTCCTAATTGTGTGTGTGCCTAAAGAAAGGTACCAAAAGTCGCCACAGAACATTTTGAGCTACAGGCTGATAATGACAAAAAATCACTTTTTTGACCAAAATGTATTTCCATAATAAAATGATAGTTCCACCATTTTTTAACAATGTGTTAAAAGAGTTTTCATTGATTTGACCTTAAATATTTTATTTTGAAGGTAGGATATGTTTTTAAGAAATAATGAAAACTGCTTTTAAAGCTGTTAAAATCTATTCTTGAACAATAATGATATTGATGTCCGCTAAATGCCAAATGGGAAATGAATTTTCTGTGAATAAATGCATTAGAAACAATTTTTTCAAGTTTGTATGTGTTCTATACTTAAAAGCTAATTTTCTCAAAATTAGATCATTATACCCTACCTCGCAAAATGTGCAATATCTCAAAACGACTTGAAATATCTCAAAAATTCCAAAACCACTGTGTCCAGCATTGAATGTCCTATTAGGTACAACCCTTAACTCTGAATGGTTAAAATCCGACTTTTGGTAACTTTCTTTAGTTAGGCACACACACAATTGGAAAATATGTTGATATGTCACAATGTCAATAAATTGGATGTAGATATAATGGATTATACTGTATTCGTACATATGGAAAAAACAGCATTCGTCCAAATGAACAGATAAAAGAAAGGCAGTGGTCTTCAATATTTGTCCTGTAACCAATGCCATTTTCCCACTGAGTTTTCTTAATGTCTCTTTCTGTTGTTACATGTAGTTTTGCATTTCGTATTTTGACATGGTCAGACCATATGAAAAAATCTCCTTTAAAGACAGCAGCTTTTGTGAGAATATGCTTTTTTTTTTTTTTTAGTAAAAAGTCAGAGCCGTCTGATTTGTAGATGCAAGAATTTTCCTACCTGTAGGTTGGGTAGTGCTTTTTTTTTTTCAAATTGAAATGATCTAATTCCAAACTTTTATTCACACTGCCATTAGGATGATAACTTTCACAGTACGTAATGTTGGTCTAGCATTACAAAAAAATGTTGACATGATTTTATAATTTCGATAGAATTTCTATTCTGAAAGTAAAGTGTTGTTTTGTGTCTTTCTTTCGGCTTTGGTAGTTTGTTCTGCTCAGTCTTCAGTTACCTTACTGAAAAATGTATCTGTCATGGCCAACCTGGGCTGACAAGGATACAACATCCCAGCAGAAAGACCGAGATACTCAATAAAAATTCTCCCGACTCAGGAATTGAACTTATGTTTTCTGCTTGCGACAGATTCTGGCATAAATGGTTGAATCAGTATAGTTGCGTAAAAATATAAGCTTTGCGTACTGTTTATACTGCTGTTAAGTAGGGAGATTATTAAATCAAACTCATCGCGATTGGGCATTGCCATTTCCTCTCAGTTCCTGATTCCCAACTGATTTCTTTTTAAAAAATCCTTTTTATTCTCATATTTTCACTTGTTGTGGGCATTCAAGTGTGAACATGTACTTAATGTGTACTTAAAGTTGAAATTGTGTTCAGCCTTTCATTTTATGTAAATTGTGATTTTGAGAAAAATTCTAGTAAAACGTACTTTCTGGCATTTGCTACCTCACCAACTTTTAATAATGGTACAGGCTCCTTCAAGAGAGGCAGTTCTTACATAGATTGTGGATCTGAGAACATGTATAATATATAAATTTGCAGGTTACTGTGCAAATTATTCTGTTCTCATGCTTTCCATAAAAATGAAAGGGAAAGATTGATTGGACAATTAAGTAATGTAAGAAAACTATTTCCTTAAACTTAAACACATTTTTCCTAAGAAGTTACTATTTATTGTTGTCTCAGTGGTAATTGAAACTGATGGCATTACTGTATAGTCTCTATTAGAGACTTTCCTATTCACCTGCTTTGCCAATATTGGCTATCTTTTTCCTTTGCTCATATCAGCCATCTAGTGCTCACATTCTTTCGCGCTTGATAAAAGTTCAAGTAAATTCTGACTGCTTACTCAAGCTGTTGAAATTTTAATGGTTACTTTCATGATATATTCACAGAGAGAGCTCCTGTCTAGTATTGCTATAAATTGTATTGT